AAGATTCTTTTTTTATATTGTAATACCTTAGTTTGTTTCTAAAAAATGTGTTCATAAGTGAGGGGATTAATAACAGGGCCTTCAATTAGATTCCATTGGGCTACCTGTCTGTTTTTGCCACATTACCAAGTTGTTTTTATTACTAAATCTCTTTAGTAGGACTTGAACTGAGTGAAGGCAATATCTTCCGAAATTCCTTTAATGTATTGGTTTTTTTGACTATCCTGGGTTTTTTGTTTTTTCCATACAAAGTTGAATACTGTTCTTTCAATGTCTGAGAAGAATTGTGCTGGGATTTTGATGGGGATTCCATGGAATATGTAGTTCGCTTTTGGTAAGATAGCCATTTTAACTATGTTTATGGTACCTATCCAAGAGGATGGGAGATCTTTCAATTTTCTGATATATTCTTCAGTTTCTAATCTTCAAAGAATTCAGGTTCTTGTCATATGGATCCTTCAGTATTTTGGAAAGAGTTAACCCAAGATATTTTATGCAGCTTTTGGCTGTTGTGAAGGGTGATATTTTTCTGATTTATTTCTCATCCCATTTATAATTTGTATGTTGTAGGGCTACTGAATTTTTAGTTAATCCTGTATCCTGACATTTTTACTGAGGGTGTTTATCAGCTGTAGGAGATCCCTGGTAGAATTTTTGGTCATTTACTTAAACTATCATATCATCTGGAAATAATGAATGTTTGGCTTTGTCCTTTCCAGTTTCTATTCACGTGATCTCTTCCTAATGTCTTATTGCTCTAGCTACAACTTTGAGTTCAATATTGAAGAGATATGGAGAGAGTGCACAGCCTTGTGTTGTTCCTGATTTTAGGGAAATTGTTTTGAGTTTAGTTTGATGTTGGCTTTCTGTATATTGCCTTTATTATGTTTAGGTATGTTCCTTCTATCCCTTGACCATGAGGAAGTGTTGGATTACGTCAAGGACTTTTTCAAGTTCTAACGGGATGCTGTTGTGGTTTTCCCCTTTCACTTTGTTTATATGGTGGATTGCATTGACAGATTTTCATATATACAAACATTCCTGCATCTCTGGGATGAAGCCTACTTGTCAATGGTAGATGAGTTTTGTATGTGTTCTTGAATTCATTTTGCCACTATTTTTGAGGATTTTTGCACAAATGTTTGTGGAGGAATCTGCTCAGTAACTCTTTTTCTTACTTGGCTCTTTGTGTGGTTTGGGTATCAGTGTAACTGTACCCTTTTAAATGATTTTGGCAGATTCTTTCTGTTTCTATTGTGTAGAACAATTTGAGGGATATTGATATTGGCTCCTCTTTGAAATTCTGGTAGACATCTGCATTGAAATGATCAGATCCTATGTTTCATTTTTATTTTTAATTTTATTTTTCAGTTGGGAGACTTTTTATGACTGCCTCTATTTCCTAAGGGGCTATAGATCTATTTAAATTATTCATGTGGTCTTGATTTAATTTTCAAATGTGATACCTACCAAGAAAAATCATCCATTTCCTTAAAATTTTACAATATTTTGGAGTTTGGGCTTGTAAACTATGAACTGGTGATTCTCTGGATTTCCTCATTGTCTGTTGTTATATCCTCCTTTTTATTTCTGATTTTGGTTATTTGGATATTCTCTGTCTGCCTTTTAGTTAGTATGCATAAGGGTTTGTCTATCTTTGTGATTTTATTGAAGAACTAAACTCTTTGTTGTATTGTTTTTTATTATTTTCTTTCTTTCTATTTTATTGAATTCAGCCCTCAATTTGAATATTTCCTATCATGTATTCCTCTTTGTTGAGTTTATTTATTTTTGTTCTAGGTATTTCAGCTGTGTTGTTAACTCTAAAGTGTAAGATCTACAGGTTTTTTATTTAGGCACTTGGTGTGACTAACTTTCCTTTTAGCACTATTTTCACAGTGCCCCATAAATTTGGGTATGTTGTGCACTCATTTTCATTGAATTCTAGGAAATCTTTGAATTTCTTTCTATATTTATTCCTTGATCCAGTGGTAATTCACTTGAGCATTGGTCACTTTCAGTGAGTTTGTGGCCTTTCTGCAATTAGTGTTGTTATTGAATTAAAACTTGAATTAAACATATGGTGATCCGATACAGGGCCTTATTACTTTTTTGAGTCGCTTAAACTTTCATTTGTTACTGAGTATGTGGAAAAGTTTCCATGAGATGCTGAGAAGAAGGTACATTTTCTTGTGTTTGGGTGGAATGTTCCATAAATTTCTGTTAAGCCCATTTGTGTCATAACATCTGTGAGTTCCATTATTTTTCTGTTACGTTTCATTCTGGAAGTCTTCTTTACTGGTAAGAACAGGGTTCAAATACTCCACTATTAGTATGTGTGGTTTGTTGTGTAATTTAAGCTTTATTAATATTTGCTTTATTAATGTGGATGTCCTTGTACTTGGGGCAGAGGTATTCAGAATTGAGAACTCAACTTGTGTTTTTCCTGTGACAAACATGAAATGTCTTTCATCACCTCTTTTGATCAATTTAAGTTTGAAGTCTATTTTGTCAGATGGTAAGATAGCTACATCAGGTTGGCTCTTAGATTCATTTGATTATAAAAATATTCCCCAACCCCTTACCCTATGTCTGGATTTAAGTTGAGGTGTGTTTCTTTTACAAAGCTTAAGGACGGATCCTGTGGTCAAATCCATTCTGTTAGCCTGTGTATTTTTATTGACAAATCGAGTCTATTGATATTAAGAGATATTAATGAGCAGTGATTGTTAGTTCCTGTTATTTAGGTTTTATTATTGTTAGTTTATTGTGTGTGTATGTATTTCTTTTTTTTTGGGTTTTCCTAGTGTGGTGCTATGTATTTGACTGTGGTTTGGGGAGGTGTAGCTACCTTCCTTGGATCGGCATGTTCCTTCTAGTGCTTCATGTATGACTGGATTTGGGGATAGGTAGTATTTAAAAATGGTTTTGTCATGGAATGTCTTTTTTCTCTGTCTATTGTAACAATAAACAACACACTTGATGAGGGTATAGGTAACTATTTATTGCACAAATTACTTACAAGAAAAAAATGGCAGAACCAGAAGCCTAAAAGAGAGTGTGTGTCTCTCCTGCATCACCTTTTGTTACCACGCCATGGCTAGCGGCACAGTCCTAATGTCTCTTCCTACAGTCTATGTTGACTGAAAGCTTTGCTGGGTTACAAAAAGTTGTTTCTGATGGTGCCATATTGCTCCTTCTGTTGTTGGATGTATTCTTATACTGACATCTACTTATGTCTTCCTCCAATCAGGGCATGAGGGTCCTTTGATGCAGGGAGTCCCTCTTCCTCCTACTGGTGCAGGTGGTTGCTTTTCTTGGAGATGCAGTCGGGGCCTGTGGGTCAGATGATAGCTTCTCCAGGAGCAAGATAGGTCATGCCTCCAGCACAGTTGATATTTTGGAGTAGATGGTGTGTGGAGGAGCTTCCAGGTCTGTGGTGCTTCAATATGTGGAGTGGACAAAGGATGTGACACGAGAGGCTAGGGTCTAGAGATCATGGCCATCCAGCCACTTGCCTTCGTGGTATAGGAAGGGTCAAGTTTCCAGCAGACTCTTATGTGGTAGGGGGTAGTTGTGCATGTAGGGATGATGCTCCCAGGTCTCTGGGGCATTGTTATGTAAAAGTGCTATTCAGAATATGCCACCAGGCAATAAGGACTAAGGAGCAGGGCTGTCTAGCCAGCATCCCAAACACACACCTTCCAACAAGGCTGCTGGAAAACATGTTTTATACATGTATTTATTGTAATCACTCGCTTGAAACATAAAGTGTAATTACCCTGTGATTTTTATACTTCTTGAAAGATTTTAGTGGGACATATAAGTTGTAAGGGTAAACATAAGGGAAGTTAGAAAGAAAACATCAGGAATGAGTGTTTCCAGGCAGGGGCGTTGTATGCCTTTAATACCAGAACTCGGGAGGCAGAGGCAGGTGGATCTCTGTGAGTTAGAGACCAGCATGATCTAAAAGTGCTAGTTTCAGGACAGCCTCCAAAACCACAGAGAAACACTATCTTGAGAAAAAAGAAGAATGAGTGTGTTAGAAGAAAATGAGAAGAGAAAGAAAACATCTAGAAGGATAGACAGAAAACAACGGGAATGCTGTAAAGGAAGAACACAGAAGAATAGAGGAAGTGTCAGAAAGAAACCTTCTAGAGACTGTGGGTGTCTTTTCACTTACACCTTGAGGTAAAGTCTTAGTGTGGTGATGCCATGTATTTATTTTGAGCTCTGTACTAGTGGAGGCTGTTCTGAATGGCAGCAGTATATATCTTCCTGCCTCAAAAACTGGATCAATGGCATGTGTCATAACATCGTAAAATCTGAATCAAAGACATATTGTCTTCTTGCCTCAAGAGCCATATAACTGCTGTGCCCTCCATTTCTAGATTGTAGTTCATTGCAGATATAGTCAAGTTGACAAACAAGAATATCCACCACGGGTGGTTTTCTGAGGATTCCAAACTCCAAACTTCATTTCTTTGTGCAGCAAACATTTTGAGCCCATGGTTCTCAACCTTCCCAATGCTTAAGCCCTTTGATTCAATTCCTCATGTTGTGATGACCGCAAACCATAAGATTATTTCCATTACCACTTCATAACTATAATTTAGCTAGTTTTAATAACAACATAAATATCTGTGTCCTCTGATGATCTTAGGGGCACCCAGGTTGAGAACCACTGTTTTAACCACTGAAACATTTCTGTAGCCCCCTCCATTTTTCTTAAAACCCTGAGCCATGCATGCCTGTGGAAGCTAATTAAACTTCCCCAGATGGAAGTTTAGCTTAACATCCTTTATCTCAGTGTTAAAGAAATAGTGGGATGGCAGGCAACTTTGCATTGAGACACTCATGGATGCAGGTCATTATTGGACCTCCAAATATATGTTGTGGCTTTTTGTAAAGACTAAAGTAGTTTGGGTTAAGATGTGTAGAAATATGCAATGCTGAAATGAAGACAGACATTTCTAATAAACTCTCTTTCCCTCTTTTAGATTATTTATATCATCAGGAATCCAAGAGATGTTGCTACATCTCTTTATCATATACAAAACCAGGCACCTAAGATCAAGGGTCGATGGACTTTTGAGGAATTTCTTCATGCATTTACCAATGGTGACTGTAAGTGGAAACTGGAACCCCAATTGTTTGTCTTGAAATCAAGGCAAGATCAGAGATCTGTGAAGCATGCTTAAAACCTAAATCTGTCAGTCACAACAGTTTAAAAATTATTCAGTATGGTACTAGAAGGATAGTTTACCTGTTAAGAGTATGTACTACTCTTGCAGATGTCCAAAGATGATTACCATCATCCATGTCATGTTCCACTCAACTGCTTTCAACTCAAGAACCAGGGGCATAACAACCTCTATTGGCATCTACAGACACTGCAATCATATATGTGCAAACCCACACGTATATATATACATGCGGATGCAATTAAAATAATAAAAACAAATCTTTTAAAATTTTACTCAATGTGTTAGGGCTGGAGAAATGTTTTAGTGGTTAAGAACATTGACTGCACTTCAATAGGACCAGGGTTCAATTCCAAGCTCCAACACAGCAGCTCACAACCCTCTGTAAAACCAATTTCAAAGGATCTGACACCCTCATACAGACAAAAAATAATTAATGTAGGCAAATAATAATTAAACTAATTAAAAATAATTAAAGCTCATAAAACAAGATAAGTAAATTACTAAGTTTGTGTTTTTACTCAGTGTGATGTCAAGAATTTAATGGACAGTCAGATATATTCTGACTTTATTTAATGTATTTTTTCACTTAGAAAAATCAACACTTTTTCATATTAATTTATTTTTAATTTAATTTAAATTAGAAACAAGTTTGATTCACATGTCAATCCAAGCTCCCTCTCCCTCCACTCCTCTCCCTACCCCAATTCATCCCTTCACCTATCCCCACTTCACTCTCCAAGGAGGATGAGACCCTTGTTGGGGGAATCTCAAAACTCTGTCATTTCATCTAGGGCAGGGCCTAGGCCCTACCTCATGTGTCCATGTGGAGACAGCATCCCTCCATGTGAAATGGGCTCCCAAATCCATCTGGATGACAGGGCTAAATGCTAATTTACTGCCTGAAGCCCAAAAGGATCCTGAGGCATCTTCACTGACACTCATGTTATTCAGAAATATAAAACTACAAAAAGTGGGGTATCATAAGATATTTATTGAAAGAGAAATCACTTACTTGAACACCAAGAAATCCTAGAAACAAGTCATGGCTACTCTCCAGGTCGAAACTGAAACCCAAAGAAAGAGAGTCCCCTCCCCCTAGCTCTATTTACCACCATAGGTTCGCACCCATGTACACACCCACATGGGAGTTGTCAGTGCTTATGGATACATAAAATCACTCCCTACAATTTCTCTTTTAGTTTAAAGAAAAGATTTAATCTTGATACAAAACTCAAACAAATTCAATATATACATATAAAAGGTGATAAGCAAGTTATAATCTACATATATCCTAAACTAAACATATCTATCCCATATAACTCCTAAAATTATATGAAAGAGATTCCCAAGTCTGAACACCTCCTTCAAATCCCTACCCTAAATATTTGAAAATTAAACTATCAGGTGTAAACTATCCTATAATATCAACAGTGGGAAAGGGAGTGTAGTATTCTCAAAATTACTTTCTGTTGAAATGTAACAATGACAATCTCATGAGTACCTATGGGGAGAAAATTTTAATGTAATGAAAGTCACATTTGTATTCAGTATCTGCTGGCAGGAGATGTTTGATTGAAGTTATTGACTGAAACTCTTGCCAGCTTGTAGGAAGTACACTGTATCAGTTCATTGGTCGGGAATTGTGTCAAGTGATGTAGTTTTAAACAGGTTTCAGGATGGTACTGGTCAGAAGGAGTCGATGATGTGGGTCAGTTCAGATGCATCAAGTCGAATAAGGTGGAGTTGGTGAAGTGGAGCCCCATTTTCTTTCTCAGGTGTTTAAAGATTGCTGTCAGGAAATTCCTTGTTCTCTGGAAAACTCAAACATTTATATTAACAGAGAAATTTTCAACTTTTATATGTATGAATACTGGGAAAGGCAACAATAAGGAATTTAGTAAATATGAAGGTGGTTAGACTTTCAGAAAAGGAACCAAGTATAAACAGATGACAGTCCCTAATTTTCTTTTCTTCTGTCTCATATCAATGGCTCTTTGATATAATACAGAAATTCTGAATTTTATTTCAGCAGCATGCTTGGATTTAGAGTAGGATAGACAATTCAACTCCAAAGCCAGCTTTAGTTAAATGAGTTGGGCCTAAAAGAGTATTAACAAGCAAGGAGAAATGGATATTATAAGAACAAAATAGGGAGAATTACACATTGATACCACACAGTGAAATATTGTGTTTTAATGGGCCTCAGGGTAGATCTCCATTCTTCTTCAGGTATTCATACATCCAGTATTTTTTGCTGTTTGGAACTGAGTTTTCCTGTGAAGATGAAAACAAAGCACTTCTCTTTCCTTTTATGAGGTCTCCTTATGCCTAGTAGAATATGACCTTGTAGATGAGTTGTCATTTTTCCTCCTCCTGGGTTTTTTTCTGTTCAGATTCAATCTTGATTATTTTTATGGAATCCAAAGTTTTTCTTCTCCTGTTGAAACAAAGGCAAAATCCCTTCCCCAACATAATGCATACCCTGATTTCCAAAGTAAGGTCATAATATTTTTGAAAAACACTGGCTGATTTAGTTCAGCAGATTTTTCTGTAGTTCAGCGTCATTCTGTAGCTGTTTGTCCTTTTTCATTAGCATTAAGAAAGTTCAAAGTTAGTAAACCATTATGTAATCTGTGTTTTGGGGTGTCTTTCTGCCCCCTGTATGTTTATGAAGCATTTCTATTAAGGTGCGGTTAGATCTCTCAACTACTGATTGTCCTGTAGGATTGTGAGGTATACTAGTTGCATGTTTTATAATATTTGAAAAACTGTTCCAACTTGCTGGAGATATATGCTGGAGCATTGTCAGTTTATATTTGTGCAGGTATACCCATAACAGCCATTACATCTAAGAGGTGTGTTATAACAGAATCAGTCTTCTCAGAAATGAGGGCAGTAGCCCATTGGAAGTCTGAGAATGTGTCTACGGTATGGTGTAAGTATTTCAAACTAACAAATTCTAGAAAGTGAAATATGTCCATCTGCCAAATTTCATTCCTGCGAATAACTTTGGGATTACTGCCTGCTGGCAATGTAGTTTGATTATAGAAAGAACAGGTGGGACAGTTTCTTACTATTTCCTTGGCTTCTTGCCAAGTGATAGAAAAATCCTTCTTTAAGCCTTTTCTGTTAACATGGTGTTTTTTTATGAAATGCTGAAGCTTCCAACACAATTCCTGTTAATCAACAATCAAGCTCATCATTACCTTGTGCTAGAGGACCTCATAGACCTGTATGGGATCTGATGTGATATATATATATGATGAAGTTCTATTTCTGAGGGTATCCTGTAATTGTAAAAACAATGAAGTTAATTCTGCAGTCTTAATGTGTAATATGACTCTCTCTGAAAACTGAGAATCCATAACTATATTGACAGGCTCTGTAAAGTCTTTAGGTACCACGAGAATAGCATAAAACTCTGCCTTTTGTACAAAGGTGTAAGGGCTTTGAACTAATTTTCTTGTATTTCCTGATTTATACCCTACCATATCTGACTTGTTTGCATCAGTGTAGAATATAAGAATTCCAGAGATTGGCGTTTTTCTTACAATACGTGGAAGTATGCAAATTGCTTTCTTTATGAATTTGATTATCTCTGTTTTGGGATAATTGTTACTGATTGTTGCCAAAATGTCACAGCAAGCCCTTTGCCAATATTTATTATCCTTCCATAAGGAGGAAATTTCTTCATTTGTTAGGGGTACAACTATCTCTTCTGGGTGCTTCACAGTTAATTGACACAGCCTTAACTTAACTTTTAATATCAAATCAGAGATATTTTCTATATATGTTTTCAGTTTTTTATTCTGTTTATATGGCAGAAATACCCATTCTAGTATTACATCTTCCTCTGCATTTATCTTCCAGAGGGGTGGTCTCTAGATGGTAAAAGACCAGAATGCAGTCCAGGTTTGGATCCACACAGTTCACATGTGCTTCCAATATTCTTATTTTTACCCATTCCAATTCATTTTTCAGCCTCAGCTGACAATATTCTAGGACTATTTAAGTCCTTATCCCTTTTAGGGCCATTTTTAGGTGTTTTAAATCATGCCCTTATACTCCAATAAATCGCTGTAGTTGAGAAATTTCTTCTAGTAGTTTTTGAAGATCATTAAGATTCTGGTAACGATCTCTTCTGATCTGTACCGTTTGTGTTCTAATTTTCTCTATGTCTGTTTTATAACCCACATAATTAATAGAATCTCCTCTTTGTATTTTTTCTGGGGCAATTTGTAGTCCCCAGTGAGGCAAAGTTTCCTTTACTGCTTCAAACATCTTTTTCAACCTACCTTTATTTGAATCAGACACCAATATGTCATCCATATAATGATAAATTATTGGTTGTAGAAATTGTTTATGAATTATTTCTGTGGGTTTTTGCACAAAACACTGGCACAAAATGGACTATTTAGCATTGCTATGGCAACACCTTCCACTGAAATAATCGTACTGGTTGAGAATTGCTATAAGTAGGCACTGTGAAGGTAAATTTTTCCCTATCATTTTCTTGTAATGGTATAGTGAAGAAACAATCTTTTAAATCTATCATTATAATTGACAATTATTTGGGTATTAAAGAATGTAGTGGCATCCCACGCTGTAGAGAGCCCATAGGCTGAATTACCTTGTTGGTAGCTCTCAGATCAGTAACCATCCTCCATTTCCAATACTTCTTTATGATAACAAATACAGGGAATTCCATGGAATATTTGATTCTTCAATATGTCCAGCATTTAGCTGTTCCTGATTGAACTTTTCAATGCCTCTAACTTCTCAGTGGTCATTAGCCATTGTTCTACTGAAACAGGTTTATCTGTTAGCCATTTTAAAGATAGTAATTTTGGTACCTCTGTAGGTGTGTAACTAGCCTCCTGTAACTGTACAGCCTGTATTTTCTGTGATTGTTTATCTTAG